GGGATTGACCGTCACATTATAACTGCCCCCACGGCTGAAAGGGCGAGCATGTTTGGTGTGACGGGGATCCGAACCCGCGACCCTCAGATTGCGAGTCGAGCGCCCTAACCACCTGGCCGTGCCGGGGCCTACAGATATGGATTCATTGAAAACTCGAGCATTTTTAACATCAAAATTATACTATATCCGTATTTCTTTTAAGTACGTACCTGAGGTTGATGAAGTAATAGCATTGCGGTCTCTGGCAGCAACTTGATTTTAGTTCTTGGGATGGAAGACTGGCCGTCTTTGGAGTCTATTCTCCCATCATTCGTGTTATTTCCAAGATTTTATTTGTAAAATACTTTCAATATCTCAGAAAAGTGAAAACGTATAAACGACAAGGTTAAATTCTTTACTGTTCAGATTGCTGCAAACTAAACATAAAACAGAAAAATATTTTTGTAAAATTTTTATTCTATGTCAACGGGCTATTAAACAACAGACGTTTAAGGTTTTTAAAAACTTTTAAATTAATTTAAAAAGAAGAAATAAATAAGATCAGATATTTTTTATGTTTATTGTCGTTAAATAAATATCATCCTGCGACTTGTTTCTAGTAGACATGATTAAAACATTTTTCATAGTTATATATATATATATATGTACGTATGGCAAAAAAATTCACAGGGCTGCAAGGAAGTAATTAAATTTTCTTAGGATTTAACAGCATATTTAAAAACATTTATAAACATTGCCCCTTTCTCCTAAAAATAAAGACAAGATGTTGTTGGTACCCCCCCCCCCACCGCGGGTGCGAAACGAGGATCCAGGGGGTGCGAGGAAGAGGCCTATACAAGGTCCGTTTTCCTTATAGATTTCTTATCCTGAAATAAAATTGGTCCCCATGATGGTGTTTTATTTCTTCTTATTAAAAAAAGCAAAAGTACTGTATTTCAGGTTGTCGGGTTTAGGCATTTGATGCAATTTGTTAACATGAAAATGGAAACAGTCTTTGGTTTTGATATTTGATGATTGAGGAAGAAAGAAATGAATTTGCTTTAAGTGCATGTGTGAGCACAAATGCACACTTTGTAGTGGAGAGGTGCGAGAGCCACTAAAGGTTGTGCACCACTGCTTTAGACCCTTTAATGCTTCTTCAGCACGAGTATTGTTCCTTCTTCTTTTGTACCCTAACGCAAATTCTAATCAGCAAACACAACTCATGGTTAATGTTAGAAAGCTGCAACTAAATTTTACATGATGTCATTTCACTATCCGACGTAGGAAGTTTGAAAAGTGGTAGTTATCCAGATCCAGACTGGTAGTTATCAATTCCAAGCATTAACCTTCGTTAGTGAGCATTCCGGCTACTTTGCAATATAGGCTTGTCATACAGAAAAAATAGTTCTACAGGGGCAAGTTATATATTTTTGTTCAAACATATTTTTAACCTTTTCACTTTTTTCTAGTTACACAACAACAACAAAAACACGTTTTAATACTTCATCGCTCATCTGAAATTGAAACTTTTAGAAGCCTGAAAGGGTAAAAGCCTTCTTAATGGTGGTACAAAATTTCTAACTCAAACGGGAGTTTTGACGGAGGAAGTTTGGAATTCCAGAAGGAGACATATATGTGGCCATGACAGTGAAAAGTTTAAGAACAGTTATTTTCCTAAAATTCTATATCTATTTCTTGAAATAATATTATTACAAGTTTAAAATAACGTTTTAATATCAGATATCAAACTATTTGATTAGTTATCACGTTTAATGCTGCTTTTGCTTGATATTTTTCTAAGAATATTTCGCAATCGCAATTTTTTATATTTCAATAAACGATGCACTGACGCAAATTACTAAAATCTAAATTAAAACTGTATTAAAATAGAAAGTTATTAGTGGTTCTCTCCAAATAAGAAGTAGAGTCCGTATACGTCACCTACCAGTAATTGCTTTTCTTAGTACTGTATCTAAAAGTATGCTTATTGTATGAACCCATTTCCCGTCATCGATCAACACTACTGTTCTACTGACGTCAAACAAATATGAACGTGCTAGTAGCGGTCGACCTTGTTTCTACTGACGTCACATGAAGCAGTACATCACTGCTGAGCACCATATCTTTTCGTTGCTAGGACTCGAATGAACTAATGACACTTTGGTATCCCACGTTTCCTTATACAGCATGTAATCTAACCTACGTCAATGAAAGCAATGACGTCAAAGCGAGAGAAAATGTGATTACAGCTAGTGCACACACTGTTTTTATATCCTTAGCATTTTGCATATAATATTTAGTTTATGTTTTAGTTCGCTTGAAAGAAAAGTATGTGGTTTGAAAAGATTTAATTAAAAAAAAACGGTCTAAGCTAGAACACTGAAGTAGTTTCACAATTAACAATTTTACCAAAAAAAGGTGAATTTACAAATTAAACACTTTAGACAAAAACACATAAAACACACGTATATTTGTCACAACAAGTTGTTATCAATAACACACATGTTAGGCTGCTAAACTATTTACGAAAGCCAAATTTTCTAGTATTTCGACATTAAATAATCCTTTACAAATTTGTTTCTGATACTAATTTAGCACTGATCACTAAAGCTCTAAGCACAATTAGCACACATATAATATATGGACTCTTAGAATTATGAGGTGGATGAGAGTGAAAATACATGCAATGTCAACGTGGAACTAATTTCATAAGGATAATTTTGACGAAACATTATTCTGTCACAAAGCAAGAATCTTAATTTTACTAGGTTATTCTAACATTTTATGTAAAAACTTTCTTTGAATAAAACAGTAGAATAAACGTGGACAGATAATTATTTTTGTTTAAAGCTTAAGAACAAATACGAAATGTTTACTCAAACGAATGTAGACGTAATTAGCACTTTAACAGAAAAAAATATATAGAAGATGAGAAATATCACGTGCAAGAAAAGTGGTAACGATAGTGTATACTCACATCTGGATAACTTGATGATTCTTTGTTTATCCGGAATGTTAACTGGAAAACTGGATTCGTTTTGATCATATTTGTTGAGAATGTCATGTGGAATATGAAACGTCTTCAATCGTTGATAAGAAAAATGATCTAAGTCAGTGAAACATTACGTGTACTGAGACCGTCACCGAACTGTTGACATCGTAAAGCCCATTATTTATTTTTTTAAGAATTATTGTTGAAAGTCAAAGCCTAAAGGGTGACAATAACGATTCGTTGAGTAGACTACAATAAACTTCAACACAAGTGCATACTCGCTGTTGCTTTCTTACGCGCACGTGATAAATTTCACGTGTAAAACGTGTACCATTAAATACAGGTTGAACAGATTACATCTGAACGAATCTAACCTGTTGTCGTAGGTAAAATAAAAACTATAGTGTTATTATCAAACATCAGAACTGATTTGCCCTTTATAGCACATATATCTAAGATGAAGGACCAACCTGTGGCAGGAACATTAGAGAACTAAGAATCAGGGTAGAAGAACGATGGTTGTAAACAGTGGATGTCGACCAGCCAGATTGAGAGGATATGTCGTCCACAAAATAATGCATCTGAGCTCCTGCTCATCTGTTGGTCCACTCAGATCCTCGTCTCTTGCTCGATTGCGGGAAATCCTTTCTATCATGACAATATATTTGATCAGCCACTCTTAACGTGCACAGGGTAGTCTGTGACGTCAGTGTTGCTATTGACGTCAAACAACGAGCAGGTACCTGCCACGTCAGCCAATCCTCCAAGCCCGTTTAATGATCGATAGTACCGTGGGTTTGTGGAAACCGACGACATACGCAACCAGTGCATCATGACGTCGTAACAAGAGCTCTGTCACACGATGGTATAGAACTCGAAGTCAGCAATAGTTTAAACAATCAAGCTATCAACTGGAACACAGGAATAATAAATCCTCTAACAGTATCAATAAGAAAGCTGGAACGTAAAAAGGTTTGCAGTTGTACTAATATTTAGAATCAATGCAAGTATTTCAAGTCATGTATGTTACAATATGCAGCGAGTTTTTTTATATATATCGGAATTCCGGGAGGGGGCGTGGCGGTGGTGGCTGGTGTGCCAAGATTTGTTTTAATGGGCGTAGCCTTGAACAATTCCTGTATAGTTTTCATTTATAGGAATCGTGCCCTCAGAAGTTAGAACATAACAATGAAACATGCCAGAAGTTTTTGTTGTTTTTTAAATCCCCGAAACCGAAGTTTCTAGCCATTGCAGACAAGGCTTGAGTTCAAATGCTGGAAGCTTTAGCATAAACTCCGATACTTTAATGTTCCAAAATACCGCATTTACAACAATGATGAATTCTTTAAGAAATGGGTTAATTGATATTAATCATTTTAATTTCCCCCAATCTTCCTGTGTCCCAAAGAAAGTATTTTACTAAAATTTCTTTTCGTAAATTTCGTGATAATTTCTAGTTTAGACTTGTAACAATCTGGTTTAATATCCAACACTTGTCGGGGATAACCATATCAGAATTTAGTAATACAATAGCTGCCAGGGAAATATCAGCTTCATATTACTTACGTGGCAGTCTGATTTAAGTTTTTTCAACGAAAACTGCGTAGGAACCGTTAGGGAAAAAATCCTATTTGTCTCTACCAATTGAAATGGATATAATCGTGTATAAGAGTAGTTAAATTACAATACGTTTTAGCTATACAACAATTATCGAAGAAAAGCAGTAGGTTATATACCGGTCAATATGATACAATGTTTTTAAAGCTGTATGGTATAACCTAACAGATTTAGTTGGCAAAAGTAACTGTGTAAACAGTTGGTTTGTCTCAGAATTTCGTCCAAAGTTATACAAGGGATATCTACACATAAACTTCCCTAATTTTAAATTGATATGCTAGAAAAAAAATACAGATATTTAACGGCACCCACTCACCGCCAACTGTTGAATTACACTTGTATGACCGAATAATGTGATTCGACACTCAGTCTTGTAACGTACTCACGGCTCCGAAGTGCAGACCGAGTTTTTACGGCATAAATTGTTTGTTTTTGAATTTCGCGCAAAGCTACACGAGGGTTATCTGCGCTATCCGTCCCTAATTTAGCAGTGTAAGACTAGAGGGAAGGCAGCTAGTCATCACCACCCACCGCCAACTCTTGGACTACTCTTTTACCAACGAATAGTGGGATTGACTGTCACATTATAACTCCCCCACGGCTGAAAGGGCGAGCATGTTTGGTGTGACAGTACGGCATAAATTTCGGTACGTTAACCATTCGGTTATGGGGGGTAGAGTTGTTTAATAGGTCAACTTATCTGATCAAGTAAGAAACGAGTAAGAATAGCCAATGTAACATAGTTGCCTTTTAATGATTTACTGGTATAGTGGTAACAGTAACTTTTCACTAGTTTATTTATAATTTTGTAAAAATAACTAAATAGAAAAAAAGATTGGCCCCCTAGTGTTAAATTTTAGTATTTTCGTTAACTGACATAACATTCTTTTCGTTCAGAGCTGCATAATCATTAAAAAATATGATCAAAACGTTTAGTAACCACAGGTGGCAATACTGACGTATATAGATTTACTGCTTTGGGCGTTTTATCCCACAGCTTTAGCGGCGATAATCGAATTACAAAAATCAACAGTTACATTTGAAAATCTTTGCTGCAGTGATGAACTTCGATCAACTTTCTTGTAGCTTCACCTTCACTGCGGTTCTTGCGCATGTCAGTTTTAAGCCCAAACTTCACGACCATTCACTGGTGTAGTTGTGGGAACTTGTATAGTTAAAATCATAAATAATATTCAAC